GATATGATAAGAAATGTGATGCTAGGAAAAGGTGAGGGGGCAGACAACGTTGATGAGGAAGACGGTGCTGGGCAGAAGGCTTCAAGTGGAATTGCTGGAGGGGTGGGTTAAATTGGATGTCTGCATTTATGTTTATCAATTAATCCGGGAGGCCTTGTGTATAGATCATATTTGTCTTTTTTTTCTCCCCCGCCATTTTATGACTTATGTTTTACTTATCATGATGTCCAGACAAGTGTGACAGGACGGAAACTTCTTCCAGTACGCCCAGGCATGTTTCTTGAGACTGTCTCTAAGGTAATGATACATCAAAATGTGTCCTTGATAGCCTAAAATACTTAGGAAAGTTGAACCCCTTGATAGTTTGGTTAAATTGGCTCCTCCCCCCCCCCCCCCCCGGGCCTCCAGAATTGACTAGATTTTCAATTTCAAGTTGGTCCTTATAGTTTAAAATCATGTAAGTGGGTCTATTACATGGTTTTAATTTTTTTTTTTTTGGGTGATTTAGTCCTTTCCAGTGAACCTTCTTTTGCTTCTGTTGAATTCTGTAAATATGCCTAACCGTATGCCATCATGGCACTCTGAATGTGCATTTTCCATGCCAAAGAACTAAAAATATATCTGCTTGTGTGAAATCCAATCTGTTGAGTGGTCTGTGATTCTATTGTATGACATCTGAACACTCTCAGTTTGCATAATTTATGTGGTAAGGGCTTGTTTGCGTTGACATTTGCAAAAATGACTTTTATTTTAACTGACTTTTGCAAATTGAAGTTGGGGTAAAAGTCAGTTGATGTAATGCAATTTATGTTTGGATAGGCTTTTATAAAAAAAAATTAATTTGGCAGAAACTTGTTTGAATGTATTTAAAATTCAGTTTTAGATTGTTCAAATCTGGGGGGAGAAAAAAGAAGCCAAAAACAGTTGCATCAACTTCAATTTGACGTTTGTCCCCAAAGTTATTTTCCCCAAAAGCCATCCCAAACATATATTTTTGGCCTAAACTGACTTCTTGGTTTCAAAAGTCAGTTTTCATGGAATTTAAGCCATGCCAAACATGCTAGTAGATGATTGCATGAAATCCAATACTGAGTGGCGTGGTTTAGAAGTTAAGAACCGAAACTTCCATGTAGCCTATACAATTTTGAAAATTTTTTTTGATTGGGTCGATTGTGTAGTTTATTATATCTAAACTGTATTGATCTAATTACGCGGATTAAAAATTGAGAACTGACAAAATAAGTTAACCTCAGTCAATCTAACTCCTTTACATGTCAATTTTAAATGATCTTCTCTTGTTTTTGTGTATTTGAAATCTGATCTTCCTACATTGTTGTGATGCTAGGTCTTGAGTGGAATATACGCTGGAACTGAATCTGGCATCACTGCACAGCATCTAGAATGGGTAAATTCCTTTATTCCCATCACATTCTCAAAGGTTTCTGCTTGCAATAAGATCAGTTTAATTGATCACCACTATTGCTTAATTTCTGCTTCCAATTGTTTGCTGACGTTTCTGCAGAAATTTCATTCTTTTTTTACTTTTTACATTCTTTTTTCCCCAATTAATTTCATTTGTTAGCCTTCAACTAAACCTTAACCAGTAATAGATGGTTTATGCTATAGACCTACTGCATGGGGAACTGGAGGCATTGTCACTTGGTTTTTAAACTTTGGCATATTCATTGCTGGAATTTGCAGTGGAAGGCCTGGCACCTTGAACTAATTGTTGCAGCTAAAAATTTTGACTTCACAATAATAGTACCGCAAAATTACTGCAGAATGAAATGATTTATTTGTGCTTTTCTGTTGCTTTAGGTTCATCAGAAGACACTCCAAGTACTTCAGGAGATAGCATTTAGCTAGCTCCCTTCCCTTTTTCAGTGGGATGATGTCCCAACCAATTTTGTGCGCCATTTCTGAATTCTGAGCCTCATGCTGCCAAAAGACCGGTGTTAGATTGAATATAGTATAGAATATAGCATAAAACATGGAATAGGCTTTTAGGACCTCATTAAAGATAGTGCTGTAAATTCTCTTGCGGAAGACTATATAGATGATTGGCATTGAAAAGTTCTGGTTTTTACATTTTTTTAAAATATAAGTATCCAGTGTTTAGTGTTATTGAATCTAATTTAAGAATTGTTGAGTTTAATTAGAAGTAGTTCTTTGAACGCAATTTTTTTCCCCATATATGAGGTTTGGGCTCTTAATTAGTTAATTTTATTTAACATTCTATATTTCCTTTCCCTTGGCTGCACATAAAGTTTTAATTAATTTGTGTAGCATTTGTCATGTTTTTGTTGATCTTCAATTTGCATTATTGTTGATTGTTGTTCTGTTAAAAAGCCTTTTCAACTCTAGGGATTCTCTTGATTTCATCTAATATTTGGATGTTTCTTAAGGTTTCATTTTCTCCTATTTTTTATACCCACAACTATTCTTTTCCAGAGGAGAGAGAAAAAAGAATCGCATTGTTACTATTGATATTTAGGAAATGATTAAGAGTGTTGACAAGAAATAAAAGATGAGTAAAATGATATTGTTTAACTTAAATATGCTTTTTCTTTTTAGCTATGTATAGGTATCTTCCAATTGGAGGTAATCTTATTCGATGTATTGTTAGGTATTAAATATGAGCGTCTTTTTCAATGGGATTGACATCTAGATTCGTTATTTTGTGAGGGATTGATTTTGTTTGAAGTAGATCCAACTCTCATTAGTTAATATCAAGGAGACAAAAACCGGACCGGACCGGCTGGTTTAACTAGAAAACCGGTGAACCGGTCTGAAATCCGGTCTGGTTTAGCTTAAAAACCGACCCTTCATCAACCCGGAATGACTCGGAACGAACCGGAAAAAACCGGGCAAATCGCTGGTTTTACTGGGCTGGTCGGTTGTTTTCTTCTCCCTTCTTTCTTGCTCTCACCTTTCGTCGGACGCCTCACCGTTTGCAGAGACAATGAATACTGCAGAGACAAATGGTAGACATAAAGCAGATCATGAAGGTGGAAGAAGATAGAACTTTGTTTGTGTCATTTTGAAGCATACCCATAGAAAACCGGATGATAAGCAAAAATATAATAGAGAGAGTAGAACGAATGGATGAAGCGTACAGAGAAAAAATGGTGCTTGAGTTTGCTGTTTCTCCGCTTGAGAAAGAAAGAGAAGTGAAAGAGAAGTGAAGAAGGCAGAAGCAATTTGAGAGGGAAGGGCAAATGATGCGTGCTCAATGAGGCAAGACTCACAGCTATAGCCTATTCTAGTGCTTGCTCACTGTCCAAGGCAAAAAGAAGACGGAGAGACTACTCCGTGATGCGCGATATAGGGAAGAAAATGTCAAAAAGGAAGTGCACGTGGGAGAGAGGGGAAAGAGGAAGAGAAAAGAAATGATAAAACAAATTAAAAAAAAAAGAAAAAAAGAAAAGGGAAGATCCCATTCGGTCACACGAAAGAACAAAGAAAAAAAATGAAAATATACAAAAATATTTTGTAACATGATTGTCCATTTAAAAATTAAATATTATTTTTTATAATGAGAATATGAATATTTTTATCAATTTTAACTAAATTATATTATTTTAATTATCACCGGTTTGATTCCGGTCTGACCCCGATCTAACCCACTAACCCTTAAACCAGTGTTTTAACCGGTTTAGTATCCGGTCCGGTTTTTTGTTCCTTGGTTAATATGCTTTGAAAAGGAACAAATAATGAAATGAGACCAAAACAACAGAAAAACCAACAGGGTTTGAGTCTAGTGAAAGGGGTTAGTCTTTCACAACGTAACGAATTAAGGTTTGAATCCTTGTTGGGAGAGGTGCTTACATTTAGTACTTGACAGTGTTTTGAATATGATTGCCTCTAATGGAAGGATACTTATACTTTAGTAAAAAAAAAAAAACAACAGAAAAGATCAACGATTTGTTTCAAAAAAGAAAACCAGCAAAGGCTCATAGTTTTGAAATTTTAAATCATCCGTATGGGAATATGAGCGTCTTTTTCAATGGGATTGAAATATAGATTCGTTTTTTTGTGAGGGATTGATTTTGTTTTAATTAGATCCAACTCTCATTAGTTAATATGCTTTGAAAAGGAACAAATAATGAAATGAGACCAAAACAACAGAAAAACCAACAGGGTTTGAGTCTAGTGAAAGGAGTTAGTCTTTCACAACGTAACTAATTAAAGTTTGAATCCTTGTTGGGAGAAGTGTCCACATTTAGTGCTTGACAGTGCTTCGAATAGAATTGCCTCTAATGGGAGGATATTTATACTTTAGTAAAAAAAAAACAACAGAAAAGATCAACGATTTATCACCAAAGAAAAAACATCAACGATTTGTTTTAGAAGAGAAAACCGGCAAAGGCCCATAGTTTTGAAATTTTAAATCATCTGTATGGGAGTTTTTGGTAATGGATTGGGCTGTTGCATTTGCTTGCGGGCCCAACTTAATTGTGAGGAATCAAAATCAAAGGGAATGTTTTGAAGGAGGCCACCAAAAATTTGAAAACTAAAATTTTCATTTAGTAATTTTGTTGAATTTTCTTTTCTGTATTTCTTTATCCCTATTTGGAAAACATAATACTGTTTGATCTACTTTTTTTATTGGCATCTCCAGTAGCTTTCTTTGTATATGTTTGAATCATTTCAAGTGACTTCTCATCCTTTTCTTCTTCCTAATAGGAAATTATGCAATAATTGAACTTGGAAGAAAAATTAAAATGAGGAGGTGATGCTACAAAACAATACTTTGAGTTAAAGAAGGATATGAAGGAATAATTGAAACCACGTGACTAAAAAAGAGAAGAACAAATCTGGAGATCTTTAATGATTAAAAAGAAAAACAAGAAAGATGAAACCAAGTGATCCCCCAAATCAGAGTTTGATGCCACCCAAAATCACCAAGCAATGATGAATCATTCTGTGTCCAGTTTGCAAATTGTGCAAGACCCATGTGTGTCGAGGTCCCATTCTGATTACCCCCATAAAGCAAATTATGTGTATTTGAGTATTATCAACTTATACATATACATGTATGTATATCAGATATACTACCTCCGATCCTTAATATAAGACTCTGTTTGACTTTTATTTTGGTCCTAAATATAAGACCTCAATCCACTTTATCTCTCATATTTATACTTTTTTTTTTAAAAGTAGTCCTTCTAACAATGATAGTTCTAATCAATAAACTTGATTAGCAAAGATATTTTAGGAAAGACAACACCTATTTAGGACAAATAACTAACTCGTCTTACTTCCTTAATCTCCTCAAATTAGTCAACTGGCTCTTATAATTAGGATCGGAGGTAGTACTATATTTCTAACATAGAAGACAAACCAAAAGTGAAGAGAAAATAAATAAATATGTAAGAAAGTGAATGTTTGTTCACACTTTTACGCTTTATATAAGTTTTCATTTCTTTATGTGTTACTTTCTTTTTCTTTAAGAGATACTTGAAATTATTTGAAGTTATGAAACAAGTTGATGCATCAGTGTGAAGTGAAGGTCCCATTCTGATACGTCTGAAATTATGTATTCGAGTATGCTGAGGTTAAAAATCCATAAAATCTTATATGGAAAGGCAGGAGACAAAAATATATACTACCTCCGGTCCTTATTATAAGACCCCGTTTGACTTTTTATTTGGTCCTAATTATAAGACCCCAATCTATTTTGTCTCTCATATTTATATATTTTTTCCAAGATACTCCTTCTAATAATAATAGTTATAGCCAATATACTTAATTAGCAAGGATATTTAAGAATGACAACACTTATTTATTACAAACAACTAACTTAACTTACTTCCTTAATCTCCTCAAATAAGTCAACGGGGTCTTATAATTAGAACCGGAGGTAGTACATGGAAAGAAAAGAAGGAAATCTTATACAAACTGTCATACCCTCTACACCATTTTTATTGCATAATTTGCTAAGTAGATTCTCACACTAGAGAAATCCGAACTCGTGCTCTTGTGTAAGATGCTTCTTCTAGTGCTTGTTATAAAGATTTATTGACAACTCTGCGTAGTTTAAGAAAATGAATTAAAAGTTTCAGGAGGAAAAAAAAAGAAAATTAATTAAAAGTAGTTTATTGTCAAACTTTGTTTTTTTTTTATTTATAATTTTTCAAAATTACTCTTAATTAAGTTGAGATAAGATAGATAAAAAGGGTGATAAAAAAGGGTGTTTATGGATTATAAATATTTCATTAATATTCGTCAAGAGATTTGTCTTAAAGACCAAAAAATATAAGCTTTATAAATAGCAGTTGATGAAAATGTAAATTACTTCCTTCATTCCCAGTAGCAGGAGATAGATAGGGAATTTACTTTTATCCTTAGTATAAGATTTTAATTCAATTTGTCTATTAAATTTAAATTTTTTAAAATTATTCCTATTAATTATATATATTAAGGGGTTTCTATTAAGATATAGTTCTAATAAAAATGATTATAAATAATATTTTAAAGAAACCACCACATTTTTTTAACATATAACTAACTTAACTAACATATTTATTCTTTGAAAATTAATTGTCTAGTTCCAACATACAAGATGATATAAAGCACATTCTTATCAAAAAAAAAAAAAAAAAAAAACCTCATCTTATTCGACGGGATTGGCTCTACACATCGCATGATATCTTTGTACTAGATCAACAACCAAATATTTAGGTTGAGTGTTAACCAACAAGTCTCTGCACAATAACTTTATTAAATGTTTTTTTTTGGTCTCTCTCTATCTTTTTTTAGAGAACTTTATACTGCTTAATCTACTATTCTCATCAATGCATTCAATGGTTTTCTTTAAATGTGTCCAAACCATCTCAAACAATTTTTTACAATTTTCTCTTTAATAGATGTCATGCCAACTCTTCTGCAAATATGTTTTTTTTATGCATTTTATCTTTTTTTTTTAATATGACCTCACATCTATCTTAACTTAATTCTCATCTCAAACTACTCCCATGTTATCTCTTTAAAGTCTAACATTCACTATCATATAAAATTACTAATCTACCATATACAATTATTGGTCTCACTGCAACGTGATAAAAGTTCCCTTTTACCTTATTAGGTACTACCTCCGGTGTTTAATATAAGACTCTGTTTGATTTTTATTTTGATTCTAAATATAAGACTCTAATCTATTTTATTTCTCATATTTATATTTTTTTCAAAATAGTCTTTCTAACAATGATAATTCTAGTCAATACATTAGTAAGAATATTTTAGGAAAGACAACACTATTTAGGACAAATAATTAACTCAAACTTACTTCCTTAATCTCCTCAAATTAGTCAACTGGCTCTTCTAATTAGGACCGGAGGTAATATCTTCTAACCAGTAGAACCACAAATAACCCTAATAACTTTTCTTCACTTAAACCGTCCAACTTGAATTCTATGAGTAACATCGCCATCAATTTTATCATTTTTTTCGTATAATTGATCCCAAATATTTAAATTTAGCTTATTGGTGGAATGATTTTATCTTCCATTTTAATCTCCAAATCACTTCTAAGTTCTAATTCGTCTCTCCTCAAAATTACAATGCAATTTAATTAATTTAATTTTGCATCCAAAACGGACCCCCGACGTGCATATAATCTGGTAATGAGATCCTATCATTAACAGAGAAATTTGCATTCATACTCCTGTGGTTGTGGGATCCAAATCGTGTATTACCAATTGAATTAATTTTTATTAGTGTGCAAGTTTATTTTATTTTATTTAACGTGGCTCTCTTTTTCTTTAAAATATTTAAATTTGTGAAACCTTTTGGTACATAGTTGCAGAATGGGGGAAGGATTACTGGACCTAAGTAATGATTCAGAGTGTTGTGAGGAGCATAAGCAAGAACAGCAAAGACTTAATAGTTATATACTATTACTTCAATTATTTAATACATTTTAAAAAATTATTTAACATTATTAATTTTTTATTGCCTTTTTCATAAAGCAAAAATCAATTCACTATTTAATTATCAACCAACAAACACACTGCTCATCACCCACTGGGTCTTGAACCACGCCTGCTTCAGTGTGCACTAGGCCCACATAAATAGTTTATTAATTAACATTACATTATTAGTTATTAATTGTAAATTTATGTACGTCTAGATGTGTTGAAATTTATAATCTTATTTTAATTGTCACTAACAACTGTTATTTAGTACGCTATATACCTTTTTCTGTGCAATATGAATTTAGGATGAGTTGCACTAATAATCGTTTATGAATGCGAATATTTATTTATTATAAATTATATATATTGATGGATTTGATATGTTCACGTATTGACATTGAGAGGATGATTAATTTATTTTTTAAATGATAAAATTATTATTAATGATATTTTAAATATATTTGCATATAAATTTTATTATTTAAAAAAATATTTTCTTAGTTATTGATTCTTTCATAGTTGAATTAGTACAGTTTGGCATTTCGACCAGACAACTGATTTTATTAGACACACAGTACTTACATCAAGTTTATTATATCTATTATATCAAATTCTTTAATCACACATGAACATGTGTCTTATTTTTAAAATGTTAACATTTAATAGCATTTAATTATAAATTCACATGAATATAAAAAATATGACTATATGAAAATTGGAGAATTGATATAATGGACATAAAAAACTTGACCTAAATTATTTCTATATATATATATAAAACAAATTAGGGAACAAATAATTGAATAAAGAGATGTATATCTAGATCTTGTTCTAAATTCCATTTTTTTTATTCAATTTATCAAGTGTTTATTCTTTTTTTTTTTCATTTTTAATGGTTTTCAAAATTATCAACCAACTTTAATTCAAGCGTTGTTGAGTTCTAAATAAATAAAAATTTTCTTTTCCATTTTTTAATTTAAAGAGTTTCTAATTATAAGGGTTACTTATTTGAAGAGTATTAAGCCCTTTCTTTTCAACACAACCACCTGTATCATTATGTTAAATCCACGTATTATCCGCTGTAATTGCGCCCTTCCAACTTTTTTTTTTTCCATATATAAAGTTTAAGCTCTTGACCCTTTTTATTTGATACTCCCTCTGTTTCTTATTATAAGAGACGAATAACCGAATTATGTTGATAAAAAAAAAGTTAAAATTAGTTAAGAATAATCAATGTGTAAAAAGCATAATTTTTTTTCAAAAATACCCTCATTAATAAGGAGAGAGAGCATGAGAGAGAACAATTAAATTATTAAAAGAAAAAGAAGTGGGAGGGAGAGAGAGTGTGAGTTGGAGACAAAATAAATATTGGTAAAATAGAAAATCAATACAAAAAAGTAGAGACAACTTTTAAGTGTTTCTTATATATAGGAACATGCCATAATCATTAAATGTCTCTTATAATAAAGAACGGAGGGAGTATCATCTTTGGCTCTTAATATAAAATTTAGTTTGTAGTTTAAGAGATAATATTTTATCAATTTTCAAGTATATTTTTGTCAATTTTAATAATATTTAGCATGAAACTAAATGGGAATTTCATATTTATTCTAATATTTGATTGATTATTGAAATCACCAATGTAGAACAATAAAAGTAGGCTGGTGGGAATAGAAGCAAAATCAAACCCAAATTGCTATATATCCAAAAGTGAACAGGGAATCACTTTGAGCAATTGATTGAATAAAAGACGGCAACCTGCATCCCCAGAATAAAGTTGTCGTATACATAATGTCGTATTGAGTCATCAGCTGAAGACAACGACAATAAAACATAAATGGTATTGGTGGGGGAGGCAAACCCCACCCAAACCGACTACCAGATTGGTGTCGTTTTGGGTATTTTAATGAAATGAGGTAAGAGCATGTTTGCTTTATGATGGGAATAGGATAGCTAAAACCCATTTAGATAAAGTTGAATAGCCCACGTGCATTGTCCCTTTCATATTGTTTGGTTCCTCTGTTTCTTTCTCTCTTAGTCCCTTTAAGGCACATAACCCAAAAGTTCCTTTCTATTAATCTCTACTGCTTTTTAA